ATATTTATTAAAATATAATACTATTTTATTTGAAACTATTTTATTTGAATTTAATTTTTTTCAAAATTATTGAAAATACAAAAAAAGTTACAAAAAATGTTTCAGATAAAAGTGCAACGGTTTCACGAGGAATATATTTTAGCCATGTTGTGTCCTTTTTGGATGGAGGCACTAAAAAAAATATAAAGATCATCTTTATATTTTTTTAAATGAAGCTATATAATTTTTTCACATATTATTTCTCTAATTATTGTGCATATAAAAGTATTGAAACAGGAATATCGTAATGTTCCTCCTCCAAAGCCATTTCACTTTCATTTAAAATATTTCTTTGTATCATTAATAATAATTTCGAAGAAAACTGATTGTTTAAAATAAAAGAGCACTCTGCAAACTTTTATTTTTTTTTTAAATATTTTCGTTATATTCTCACCATTAAGATTTTTCAATGCTCGCTCTCCATCTTTACGACTCATGAATGCAACAAAACCACAATTTCTTTGTCTGGCTTTCTCTTCATCACTACGTGGCCACATTATTTTTATACTAGCTAAAGGACCATATTTGCCGAATATTTCCATTAATTGCTGTTCAGTGATCTAAAAAGATAAAAGAAGGAAAGATTTTTATCAATTGTGCATTAGGATGCATTGGTTTCTGTATAATAGTGACGGCGTAGCTTAGCGCCGAGACTACCAGTGTCTTCAGATAACGCTGTGTACAAATTGATATTACAGTGATAAAATAATAGAGTTTACCTTTGGATTTAAATTTCCTAAGTATAAATTTGTGGTATTTGGATCACCATTGTCAAATGAACCATCTGTAAAACAAAAATTCTTCAGCATATCCCATATTTATGAGACAGATAAAGGTGATAAGAGGAAAAAGATATTGGAAGGATAATGGTTACCCTCATATATCAGGGCTAAGAGACGGGGATCATCAATGAAGTTATGCAGATTAGCCTTTCGCGGATCCGGAAATGAGGATTTACTACCTACTGAAGTTGTAAGTATACTACAGATTTAAATACTATTGTAATAAAAATATACTGCCATATCTTTTTAAAACCAATAATAATTAAACAATAATTAAATTGATTATACAATATCAAATTATAAAGTAATTGAATCAATATATTCTAGGATACACACTCAAGCATATGTATATATACACATATATGTATACCTTCTACACATTTTAAAGCGGCCATCATTGGATCTTCAGATTGTGTAGATATTACAGTTTTCACCACACCCTTATACTTGTGTCTCTCTTCACGTTCCTCTTGAATCATCTTTAGCTCTTCTTTGAATAATTCAAGGTTGCTCTTCTTTTTTTCACCTTCTTTCTTCTTCTTGCCTAGCCTATCCAATTTTCGTTCGTTTGTTCCAAGTAATCTTGCATATTCTTGAGCTTGTTCAGCCGATGATCTATTATCAACTAGTTCTGCGATTTTTGACTGTGGTTTATAAAGCTTTCCTTTTTCTCTTGTATCTTCCTCTATAAAAAGAATAAAATTTATGATTTACATAACAAGTACTTTAAATGCATATTATAATTTCATATTTACGTCTTTTTCCTGCATCATATGTTCCAGCCTTTACCCAAACCTTATTAGTTGTTTTACTAGGTGTTTCTTGAAATGTTGCTACAAATTCTTCGAATGCCTGTACAGAATACACATAATTATCTATATAAAATATCAAATATAAAAGAGGATGTCTGTATGAGGTACTATTCACCTGAGCCGCAGCTTGTTCTTGCTCTTTCTTACGTTGTTCTTCCAATTCCTTTTTACTTAATGGCCTTTTACCCATTGTACCAATGGAAAAGGCCTTAAGCTTTTGCTCCGCAATTTGCTGTAAATATAAGTAAATAAAATATAAGTTCAAAAATATGCAAAGAAACGTAAAAATGATTCCAATGTATAAAGAAGTACCTTCATCATAGCCTTATCCGCCATTTGTAAAGAAACGATCTAACCTAAAAAAAAGAAGGAAATTAAATAAATTGACTAAAATTTAATCACTAAAAGGATAAATTTACAAAAATAAATAATGCATACAAGTTAAATGTTATAAATATCCGTCACAAAATTTCGAACTCATTCAATGAAATATATGTAGAACGTGCAAATACTATATAAACTTTAAAAATGTTGAGAAAACAATTGGCTGAAGTAATACGTATGTTGGCAACTGGATTACGGTAGCAATGGATTTATACAAAAACGTAGAATTCCATCAAGATATCAATGTATCAAACGTACTTTATCACTTCACACGCGAAAAAATTATAAATTATAATAATGTCTCTTTCTCAAGAATCTCATGATAATAGCGACACCTAGGATTGTGTCTTTTGAGTGCGTTCCACTTATAACGTTCACACGCTGATTATTATTTCATCCTTGTGTCATCAAATGTTAAACAAGAATGAAATGATGATTGATGCACGAAATGACAGAGGCTGCGCACAATTGGACTAAAGAACAGGGAATAGAGAATAAAGCCTGATGCACAATAAAGGGTGTGCGTCCACTTGATGCTTTAAAGTCTGTATTCATAGTCAGGCCTTATATTTAATGCATGGTCTACAATGGGCAGTAACAGTAGTTGATTAAGGAATAGGAATAGAATCGACCAATCATAATTGATTATTTTTCTCACATTCAACTATGATTGGTCGATTTCTACGCCTACTCAACTACAGCTGCCAATTATAGATCATGCATAAGGCTTCCTTAAATTTATCTTTAGATGCTCTTCGAATTATTCCATTGGCTGCTGAGCATTTAAAGATAAATTTAAGGAACCTTTAAGTACAAGGTTTGACTATGAATATGGGTATTAAGAATCTTAATGCTGTCATTGCCAGCACATCGCAGCCAATACGGTAGCAAGATTCTAATCCAGCTAGCAATCCAGCAGGAAAATAAGCACCATATGCCGCAAACTTTATACCTGTATTCATAGTCAGACTTTGTACTTAAGACTTCCTTAATTCGTAAAGTATCTAAAAATAAATTTAAGGAAACCTTAAATATAAGGCTTAACTACGAATACGAATATTAAGGCTGCTTTTACTGACGCTCGATGCTCATTTTCAGCGTCAAAATAGGTCACGTGATTAAAATTGATGCTTGGTATTCGTCAATTTTGATCACATGACCTATATTGATACATTCGAATCATCAAACATCGAGTGTCAGTATGAAAATGCAGTCTAAGAACTTACTTGAAATTTATTATTCCCTGTTCTTATTGTCTGTGTTTTTCAATTGTGTGTAGTAAGCTTAACAGTTTATGGCTATAAATGATTCTTTAGTTCAACTACAGAAAACGACAGAAAATTACAGAAAACAACCCTGATGACTGCGGTCAAAGTTTCACTATAAATGTTTTAATGAACTACAAATGGTTTAACCAATTAGAAAAAAAGAATTTTACAAATTGACCAATCAAAAATTGCTCTAAAGTATTTGTAGCATCGCATTGATCGTACTCCATATCGAGTTTCATTTGATGACACAAGTCGATATAAGTATTATTTTATTTTTGTCGTTCTCTGAATGTCAACAAAGATAGAATTTGTGTCGACTTCGTTTGTCATCAAATAGAAAGCAACCATCATTGATCGATACAAACGTCGTATCACATGCCGTATCGCAATATCGTCACTTGTCACCTGAGCCAACCGCAGCTGATCACGTCACATGTGCGTACAGTTTAATCCATGGTTGTCAAGTGGTCTTCTAATTGTGCAAAATTGTCGGTATATCGGCTGTGATCTGTGATCGGCTGATTGTACAGGATCGACGACAAAAAATGTACGTTCGATGTTAAAAGATGATGATAAATTGACTCGTATGCGAGTGATGATGCTTCCAAATGAGGTTAATAATAATGTCTATGCCGAATATTCAGGTTATCAGGTATCGAATATCATTCTAATATTAATGTTGTTGCTCTTCGAAGGTCCTGTCATAGACGAGATAATCATCTGACGTGAAAGAGACGTCACGAAACTCTGACGAACGTAACTCTTACTATTCTATACGATCCAGAGAAAATGTACTGTCTACAGTGGCTGATCCCGGTGTTGCTGATACCGAAACCTGTGAACCCAGCACTACTGCAAACCCACGTCATGTTCATGGCACTTTATCTGATTGGATTCTTCCTGGAGCGCAAGCCCTGCACTATCTGCAGTCTTGTGTTCCTCGCCGCTGTCTTCCTCATTTGTTACAGTGGAATAGGCAATTGCCTGCTCTGGAGCACAAATTGTGACACAGTAAGATGTGACAATGGCTAAGATCATGCCAACTGCGTTTAATTCGATAATATTTAGAGAATTATCCTCTTGTCAGTTTTTTCCATTGCGTGTGCACACGAATTTTTGCCATTCTCTTCCTCTTTCTCTCCATACTCTGGCATAATACACGAAAGTAGCTTTTCAATCCGTATTTTGCTAGCATCTGTTTTGCCCATATTGTGAAAGCGATGCCTTTAGTATTTAGGTTTAATAAGTTTAGCTTTTCAAATTATCAAAATTTTAGTCTTAATGTTAATTCTATTTAATCTAATGTTCATGTTTTATTGAACATTTTCATGCTAAATTTATGTAGAATTCAAATTTTGAAATTTTAAATAAGCAAAAATGTGATATGATGTATTTGATGAGATTCATAGTTTGAGTTTGGTCACAATTGTTGAGTAGAGTCAAGTAAATTTCCGTTAGCATTATGTAGTCTTTTTTTGTTAATATATATTATATAATAGGCGCAAATTTCATATATTAATTATAATACAACAGAATTTGCTACAACAGAATAAAACAAAAACTGAAGCTTATACAGGTAACGACATATTTATATTTATTCATAATTTCTAAAGGCAGTTTTTATTCCAATCTTTTCAATATGATTCTAAATAATGTTTTTCCAAATAAAATCCAATATTCTTCCTTATGCGTTATGCATTAAAAAATACATATAACAATTACACAGAGTTACAATTCTTATTTTGTTAAAATCACTTGCATCAAACAACATATCAAATGATTATTCGTTTGATGTCAGATGCAAAATGAATATAATTTTTTAAATACTTTAACCGAATATAACAGGATTTTATATATTCACACAATATGTACAGTGCACTTGGTATCAAAGTGACACAACATATGAAAACTAAAACATCTCGAAATTTAAGATACTATCATTTAGTAAAAACATGAAAATTTGGCAAGTTGTTTATCTATATGGAACTAATTAGAAAATGTCGATTGATTTAAAATAATAAAAATCGAAATAATGTAGCGCAAATATTATAAAATTTAGCCAAGCGAGTGTTATATGAGAACTAAAATTTTTCAAATAAGTACTTGTCAAATCTGTCCTAATTAAAAAATATAGTGTGTAGAACCAAAATTCAATGTGAAATATATCTTTTGTATTGTTGGTTTTGTTGTCAGAAGTGTAAATTGTATTTATTTTTTAATTTGTATGCCTCATAAAAAGATTTAAGTGAGATACAAGTTCTGTGCTATATTTATGATTGTAAATTTACTTGCTATCCACAAATGTTAATATAATTATCTAATTTAGCATAAGTAGCATTACCAATGTAAATAATATAGGTAATCATAGTAACCAAAAATTATTATCCATATAATAGTTTATGAATATGGATAAAAATTGAATTAAAACATTAAGTCATGTCGATCATCTTTTATATCTGTCTCTGAAGTATATATGTGAAGGTCAATTATCTTCCTGCATCTATCTTGTAAGCTTATATTGTAACATTTTGACATAAAACAAGGAATTCCTTTAGCAAAGTTGCAAAAGCTACAGCAGTCTTAGACACATTTTTTTATTTAGATTCGAGTGAAAGTTTGACCAGGAATTTTTGCAACTATATAAAAATTGTATCTATATTCCTTGGTATGTAAGCACATATAAAGAATCTGTGATGACTTTGATTGGAAAATCTCGATTAAACACAATAGATTTATCTGTTCGTTAAAACGAATTAGAAATTAAACTTATTAAAAATATGTTCAATTTTCCCACAATATTATTGCTTGTATACTCATACCTACATTGCTTCCAAATACTGTAAAATATAAACCGAGAAACTTTACAAAAAAATAAATATAAAAACTATAAGTATATTTATAAATATATTATGAGTAATAAAGAAATCTCCAATCAAGTAAATTTGTTTCTTTTTCTTCAATGCATATCATATATTATTATAGAAACACATTGATGAAAGTATCATATTAAATAATGTTAAAATAAAAATAACATGTCAGTTTTGTTTTTTAAAGCATATTTATTTTATATTAAAAAAAAATTACTGAAGAGCTTTTCCACGACCAAAACCACCACGGAATTCGAGGTCGCCGGTACCTGCACCAACATCAGCCTTTTTGTCACCAGCATTTGGAGGACCACCTGGTCCTCGTCTATATCCCGCACGATCTTCTGTTGGTCTTGAACCTTCGCTCCTAGTTGCCGCAGGTCTTGGTCTTGTAGTTTCGGATCTCGGTTGTTTCTTAAGAGTGGAGGGCACAATTTCAGGTGGTAAGTGTAAGTATCCACGTAGATATTCAATACCATCATTTGTCAGGTACCAATAGAAATGTCGCCATGCAAACTGTTCTTTGACGTATCCTCTAGACTTTAAAGACTAAAAAGATAGATAGGTAAGTATATATACATACACTGGAAACTTTAATTTACATTAATGTACAAGTTAATGATAGTTTACAATGCAATAAAATTTTATTCTTTTTGTGCAATGAAAAGGAAATAGTAAAAATTTTTACCTGCATAGCCTTAATAACTTGAAGATTAGGAATATTTTCTAATTCTGGATGTTTCGATGCATGATAATCCTTCTTCGCTACCATGACTCCCTCCTTGAAAAGGTACTCATAGATAGCTACACGATTCTTTTTTGGCATCAACATTCTGTAAAACAATAATAAAAATGATTTAATACATATTAGTATAATAAATGTTATAGCTTAAAAAGATTGAAAATCTATTCAATCTTTTTAAGCAAAAATAAGATTGAAAGGTATACTATCTTTAAGGTTATGTATAATAATAACAAAATAGATATTATAGGCTAATGCAACTGCATTATTATAAGTTACATTTCAAAATTACGGTTGGTATAGCTACAATTATGAATAACATTAAAAAATGAGTTTTTATTGAATCACACGAGAATGAGACGTATACAATTCGTAAATACTCCACGTAACAACATATAAAAACTGAATATAATGAAATATATTTGATTTGGATAACTTATGGATTTTGATGAACTTTTTACTTTTTTATAATTTTTATAAATAAATAGGATTAAAACGGATATCGCAGCAAAACTAAACCTACTTGACGACTTCAACGTGCGCCTGTTGTCGGAAAGAACCATTCGCTTTCGCTCATGTGGCTCGTGACAATATCGATATACGATATCTCGAATAATTCGAGATGAGCGGAAATAACCATATTTCTGTCGCGCCGTTTGCACTTTTTGCACTCAACATTTACGTTTTCTTTTTTTAACATCAAAATATATACTTGTTTCGTTTTAAGTATAAATATTTTTTAAGTATTTGTTCAAGCAATGTGACAAACCTTTTCTAAAGGTTGATCCACGATATAAAAATGACCAATCGCGTGTCATTAGGAAATTGTGCACATATGACGTATGCATAAAAATTGTGTATGTATATATGTATTAGGTAGAAAAAGTTCGTGGCATTTTTCCCGTTAGATGGCATTAAAAAAACGCCACGACTTTTTCCCATACCTAATATATACATATTTACATATTATGTATGTGTTATATGTGCATAAATTGTATATTAGATAAAATTAATTAGATAAAAAACGTAAAATATGATCTTTAGAATTATATAATACAGGCTTATAGAGAATTCTCATCAGAATATACATAGATTCATCATTCAAATACACAACTTTAGCTAAAACAGGATTAGAGAAGATTCTATGTTATTATTTTATTAATAGTTATCGTTCATATGTGATCAATATTGAAAACTTTCCAACAGAGGCACAATTCGACACAAGAATCATTCTGTCTTTATTTCATACTGATTATCGAACAAGAATAGGACGACTTTTGTGTCAATTTGTGTCTCTTACTGGAAAGCTCTCATCGTTCGAGAAATCTATGTGATAGTTTCAAATATACTTCTCTCGTAGATGATTTTATTCGGAATTCAATTTCAAATTTAATGATCTTGAATGAAATTGAATGATATTATATTCTAATATTTAATCAAGCATCCAGTCTCTTTAAATCTTAAATTATTGGCATACATAAGTCGAAATAATCATTCTATCATTATCTTAAGTTTATTCTATTCTGTCTATTCACAGACATCAATCCAATAAATATGTTAATAATCAGTGCTTACTATTCGACAAGCTGGAATTATTTGCATTAACTTTATGTCATGGTATTGTGACCATTATACATCGGCCAGTATTTATAAATTTTTATATTAAGATTATCTTAAATACAGTCTTAAGATCACAAAGCTGGTAATATCTTAAGAGTTAAAATATATTAACTTATTGAAACTTTTTAAGGCTTGTAATGTAGATAGTTAACTTATTTTGCTACTGTGTATATCCTATATACACAATTTAAATTATACTATAATAGATTTTTTTAAGGAAATATGAAATTAAATATGAATTGATAGCAAAAAGGTTCAATATCAAAATGTGTTTGTACTCCATTTATCATTTGCTAGTCGAACATCAATATTACGATAATAAGAATTGGTTTTCTTTCAAATATAATCTTTTTAGAGAAATGCTACATACACAAATGAATATCATGTTATACTACGTTTGCAGCATCTTTGACTTATTTTTAGGTTGCAGTATAATCTCTATTGTATTTCTAATATTGTATTTCTTTTGTATTTTTTTTTATCGGTAAGTTTCAAAACAGATATATAACAGAAATTCACTGTGGTTTAATTTGAAGATAATTTGAATTTCAAGAAAATAATTAATAATTAATAATTATTTTTAAAAATCCTGAGAAATCAGGCAAATGAGAATTTCCGATTTCTCGGGATTTTTTTATTATTTGGGGAATCATAAATTATATTTCCGTTAATAATTATTTTAATTAAACATTCTTAATTATCATCGTTATTAACTTCTGTACAATTCAAGCTTTTATTAGATTTTTCTATTGTATTTTCATTATGAATTTTAAGAATGCTTGTAGGACGTCTTCTTTTATGTTTTGCTCTTGTATCTCGTTTCATACATATTTTATGACCATTTAAGATTGGCCATTTGTGCTTTTCAGTTAGATATTCCGCTGCTATTTGA